AAGGGCCTCTCTAATGCCAGGCGCTGAGAAAATCTAAGAAGGTTTCCTTCAAGGTTTGTAATGAAAATGGGACTGACTGACGGTGCCATTGCACAATAGAGTATCATAAATCGTCGAACCAGGTAGTGCTTGAAGTGTGTCTTCGAAGGAGAAAGGGAAAATCAATTAAGGGCCTCTCTATTGCCAGGCGCTGAGAAAATCTAAGAAGGTTTCGTTCAAGGTTTGTAATGAAAATGGGAATGAATTACGGTACCATTGCACAACAGAGTATCCTAAAACGTCGAGCCAGGTAGTGCTTAGAATCAGGGATGGGATAATTTTTCCCTCGGTCGGAAAGTGGGGACGACGCGACCATGGTGGGGACTGGTACTTGATGGGTTCGCTTCGCGAAGGTGCGTAAGGAGAATAGTAGTGGGGATTGAAATGCGGGCGAAAAAGAGGGGAAGCGAGGCGTTCGGGAAAAATTATCCCATCCCTGCTTAGAATGTGTCTTCGAAAGAGAAAGGGAATAGTGTATTGTGCACCAAGGGCCGAAAATGGGTCTTTCCGGGCGAGGTTGATGTTTGAGCACGAGTGGTAGTCGTGGGCGCCACAGGCGCCCGAGATGAACACGAGCTGCACTATTCCGGAGTCGGAAATCGCAATGGGAAGAGGTCATTAGCCTTAAGAACGCGTAATTCGGACGAGTGGGCGGCACCACCTTGGCACCTATCGGTGGCCAGCCGACCCACCCTTTACATGGAAAGTGTAGACAATTGCAAGTCATGTACAGTCCAATAAAAAATGCTAAAACTTTGTATTAGAATATTCTAAATTATACATTAAAAATTGTTTGCGACTAAAAAAAATCGAATAATTTAATAAACTTGACTCTACTATACTTGTTACTATTTCTAAAAGTTCATAGCGTCAAATATTCGATATAGCTTTTTAATAGATGCCTCAAACTTTTGGCAGAGGTCTTACGGTTCATACACATTAAATATTTTTAGACCTGGTAAATGGACTGAAGATTTCTTACCGATGTTAAAAAGCCGGAGCCTGGCGCTTGATCCACGCCTAAGAGCAATCTGACGAACGTTATCATGTAGTCTTTGACGAATGCTTGGTACAGGAGTGTGTCTAGCATGGAGGCACTAAAAACACTGCCAGCAGCGAAGGGCAATCGAAACATGTACGATATGTGCGAGCCTCTCTCCTTTTCCCTCTGTTACAAACAGTCGATATTATTTTAATATTCATGATTTAATCATTTTTATTAATGTACCTTTTCCATTTTGCTTAGATGAAGGGCGTACTTGTCGTGAGCCCTGAACTGCATGAACCGCATGTTACTCGACTGAGAGAGTTCTGTTANGTTGTAGGTACTGTAATAAAGGTCGTATACAATTTCCTCCTAACTCGAATAATTCATGTCTAATCAATTAATTATTCCGTTCATCGCCAATTATTCCTTAAAAAGTAGCTTTGGAAGTAAATTAAAACACTTTTCGATAGGACGAAGAAAAAGTTTTTGCAATAAACAATTAAAACAAATGCAAGTAGTGGATGTAAGCATGATGTAGAACTATATAAGGTTTATTCTTGCGCATCCATTTGAACAACTAATCATGGACGCTTCCACTCGTCAGCCATTTTGGATTTCTAACCAATCACGCTTCATATTAAAACAGAGCGAATTTTAAAATAGTACACATGTTAAAAATTAAGTTCTTGGAGTGTAATCTATATGCGTGTTCGGACTAAATAATAGGTCATCGTACTTCCAATATGGCCGACGAGTGGAAGGCCCAGACAGGGACGCATTTGAACACGCCGAAAGAACAAATCTTATGTTTTTACATCATGAATATAAGACTATCCTCCGATTAGCCGAAAAATCCTGACCGCGATTAGGATAATTGAGGTACTATTGTAATATTGCACGCCTGGTTGGAAAATTTCATACCTAAAATGAGCCCTTAAAGGAATTATGAAATTATAGATCCCGTTGCTGGCGTAATCGGCTGCCAAAATTATAGTCTTGTTCTGCCAATTGTACTCCTTCGCGTTTCTGTAGCTGCAGTGTTGGCAAACCTAATGATCAAATACATACCTCGTACTCTCAAAAAAATTTAGCAATATGCGTGCGTAAGTTAGGTTAGGTTAGGTTCGCGAAATACCCACTTGCGCAAGTTGGAGGCAGCACAGCGGTTTCTTTTCCTTCAATAAATAGCATAACGTTGGCGACACGCCTATGAAGGGTGAGACCGGGGGGAAACCCTTAACGATCCTATAACAGCACCATTACTGAATTGATTATGCAATTTATTACAACGCTGTGCGTAACACCTATTTTTATAGACAGATAATAAGCAGGAAGGACAATATCCTCTACTGGGTGTGCCATTAAAATACGGGTCAATTATTAGACTACGGATTTTTATATTATTTTAAATGGAAATTAAATTTTTCTA